CCAGATGCAAAATTTATATTTAGAAAAATTTAATTTAGGATTTGAAAGAAACGATATGTTTCTTTTAATTTTCAATTAAACTCAAATATGCCTGATCAAGAATATAATGTGGAAATTTGAAAATTGAAAATTCGAAAAATTTGAACGATAGGTAAATAAAAAACTTCTCTGACATGCGAGGAGAATTTGTTTCATAATATGAAAAAGTACAGAAAACAATTTCCCACGTGAATAATATCAAAACAAAGTTAATAACAACTCAAATGAATAACAAGTTTATCTGAAGTAATTTCTACACAATTAGTTTTTAAGTTTCTACCTAAATACACTGTTCATTAAAACATTGCAGCATCTGGAAATTTGCGCAATGTTTCCTCGACTATTAAAATTTGATTAGAAATTAAACCACGGAATTAAATGTGAAATTGCTTTTCTTACGAGCGGTTAATCAAGAAATTAACGCGTTTCATACATTAAGATATTACAAATACTTCTACCGAAGATTGGACATTATTTAAATGAAATATTTGAAAAATGATTACAGAGATGACAAGACTAATATCATTTTCTAATTACGTTTGGATGTAATTACACATTCGACCAACGAAATCGGTAATTTCTATTTTGAACCACTGTCATTAATCTTCCGTAATTAGCTCGTCATAATTATCTGCTCGCCTCGTTTCTTTTAGAGAGTCTTCTCTCGCGATTTTCTTTTTTCTTTTCTTACTTTAGCCTGAGCTTAGAGGATAGTAATATATTTCACACTCAATCTTGGAGTCATTATTTGAATAAAATACTTGAAAAATGACTGCTCAAATAATGTTTCATTTTCAGATGTAATTTTAAAATAATTCACTCGATGTAATTTTAAAATAATCTTGCATTGATTCATTGGAGGCCAGCGATCTCAAATAAATTTCATCCGACGCGATGACGATAATGCTCCTCGATACTTTCTTTATCGATATTTTTCCGTTGTTCGATTTTGTCTGCATAAATTGATAATTTCAGATGCACTCTGGGAAATCATACATGATAGTGGATCACGCTTTCTCAATTATTTACGAATGAACGAGTTTGTACCATATTTTCGAGAAAAGCGAGATCGAATCGGATTAAATCTTGGCGCGATTATTTTTTAATAGATACTCACCCGCGCGTACTCTAATTTCCTAGTTTGTTGGGTAATTCAAGGATCCTTTTCTTTTTTTTTTTTTTTCTTTTTTTCAATTCCTACGCGTTCTCAAATCCAGATCCGGATCCCGCCACGTTCTTGAAGGTTGGATTAAAAATTCACGTAACGGTGCACTCCAGTTTCATTTAACTGAAAACAAAGGGAAAGGATTTTTCCTTGGCCTGAAACTGCAAGTTTCCAACGTATCTCTCGCGCTTTTGTTACCAAGCTCCTCTGGGTTATGTTCGTTTAAAAATATGCTTGGCTACGCCGTTTTCGCGAGCGCGCTGATTGCCGTTGCAGCGTTAAAAGTACAATTGTAGAAAATGTGACTTACGTTCACACTGAGGTTTATGGCATATACACCTCCTTTTTTTCATCGTATCAGTCAATAATAATATTGGAAACAACGCGTGTACTCATAGAGAGTATAATCTCTACTGTGTCGTATGCAATTGCTAGCACAATTCGAAGATTATCTCATCTTCTTGTACTCTTCTTTTTTTTTTTGTACATTATCTATACAATTGTATACGATGATCGAGAAATGACAAAGTTGGTAAAAAAAAATTGTTGTATTTGAAAATTTTAGTTCTATCAAACTTTATTTATATTTAAGAAATAATGAATAGTAATAATACATAATATATAATTTTATATAATATAATATAGTATAATAACATATTTATATAATTATATTATAATATAATATTTTACTTAATATTAATATATAAAATATATAATATTAAATATAATATTAATATTATATTTAATATATAATATATAATTTTTATTTTTAATAATTAAATATATATATATATATATTACCTATAAGTAAAAAATTATATTCATGAATCAGTCTATCTTTGTATTATTTATATTTAATAAAATAATAATTAATTTATAAAATAATAATTAAATATATTCATACATCAATATATTAGTAATTACTTTCTTTAGATTATTTTATTATCATATTATCAAATGAAATAACTTCCGTTGCGCATTACATTGTATTTTATATATTTAAAAACCAAAAAATTGCACGAAACAAATTCTTGAAACTGGAAATTTTAATCCGCTCTCGCTTATATTAATAAGATTCGCCAGAAAAATATCAGCGAACCGTTACGCAATTGTTAAGCAACTTAAGTAAATGTTACTCTCGTTTTATCTCGTTGCAGTCTTAAAATGTTCTAAAATTCTCTCTCTCTCTCTCTCTCTCTCTCTCTCTCTCTCTCTCTCTCTCTGCGAACATTTCTCGATCCTTCGTTAAAATTTCAATTCAGAAAGTAAAAACCAGCGGCGAGTGTAGAAATCAATCGAAACGGAACAAAACGACGTTTTGTTCGAACAAAAATTTGCAATTTACGCCAGCGATTTTCAAATTGTGTTTCCCAGGGAGGGGAAGATTCTATTTTTCTCCCTTCTTCTTTTTCACCATTAATTCATACGGTGACAAAACAAACGCACGCTCCTGGCACGCAGTGTTACCGCGTTGTTCGCCGCCCGGCACGTAACAAGCAATCCCCCCTGTCTTGCTACAATTAATTTCCCCGCAAGGACATTCGGGGATATCAATTCTCCCGTTTTCAGCGGCGTTCAACACACGAAGAATAAACGTTTCGCCGATAAGCCATCCATTTAACGGGGTTGTCGCCGTGCTGCTCCGTCTTCTAATTATATCTGACCGAAAGTTAAATTGAACCGTGAAATTTTTCCCGTTTTTTTTTTTTTTTTTTTTTCCTTTCGTCGTGAAAAATTACCGGCTCGACGGCGTGCAGCTTTGGATAATTGAGTTCGATGGGGCGGGGGAGGGGGAGAGATTACCGCGGATCGGTTAAATGTTTTCGCGTCAGGAGCTTTTTGTCCAAACTCGATCGCTTTTCTATTTTCCTCTTTGATTCCCTCTGTCTCTGGCCCCCCGTTTCTGTTATATTTCTCTTTCTTTCTCTCTCTCTCTCTCTTTTTTCGGATCCTACTCCCGGCGACAAAATACGATTTCGCACGATTGAATGTAATACAAAATTCGGCGGACAAAGCGCATCGAATCGAGGAAAGATTTCCTCGATAATTCCCGCGCGCGGATTTACCAAAGCGTACAATCATAAATTCTATCTCTGTTCCCGGTTCCCGCTTCATCCAATAAATATTAAGTCCGTTTTTGTAGAATTATCCGAGCGTAACAGTAAAAGATTATAAGGATTTATTGTCATTGATACAGCCGAGCACACGATCAATTTATCGCTTCGCGAAATTCACCCGTTCTTTCGCTTCTCTTTTCGATTCTAATTACTCTCATCCATGCATTTCATTTTCTTTCTTTTTCTCTTTTTTCTTTCTTTTTTTTTTTTCTTTTTTGTTCTAAATTGACGTATCACGATGAAGTTGCATTTTAAATTTATTTCCTATCGTTGATTAGTATCTCCGAGTGCGGAGTATTCCGATCGAATAATTTCAATCGCGTTTTGATTCAATTGTTTAGTTTTGGAACAATTGATTCTTTTATACTTTGTATTTGAATGGTTCATTAATAATATCGCGATATTTATTAGATACGTGAATATTTAATATAATAATATTTTAATGTATAGTTAATTTGTTATTAACGTACAATAGACAAGACTCACGTATCGAATAAAGATGAAACTTGATTATTCTTACTTTATATATTAATAAAGAATTAACAAAGAACTCTAAGGAGTTCTAGGAAATGAACAATAATAGATGTACAGTTGTTCACTAAATATTCAAACTGTTACCAAAAAAAAATATTACAACAATAAGTTTGGCTTTATTCGAAAATATTATAAAATTTCATAGTAGGGTAAAAACGTTGATTTTATCTATAATGAATTTCAAGATTGATGCCTCCTCTCCAAACTTGCTGCTGTACGATTTTTTAAAATAAGATGTAATCACATTGAAAAACATACATAGAGAAAACTTACGTCTAAATTGAAATTGAAATTCGTGTGTCATATTATGTAAACGTGAAATAATAATATCAATAAGGATTTCTGTTAAGAGCAATAATTTACCTCAATTCTTTGAGATTTCAGATAATTATGGAATATAGATAAAAGACACAATGATCAAAAAATATTAAACCTTCTTTCATAGTCCCAATATTAAAAAAAAAAAAAATATAGAATTGAGTAATATACATTGGAATTAAAAAAAAAAATTGGGTTACAGTTTTAATTCTTAATAAAGATCTATTACGAAAATCTAATTAATTTTGCAGATCTAAGGTATTGTTTGAGAATCAGAAATCTAATTAATTTCGGAGATCTGATATATTGTTTAACCTCTTTTTGTCCCAAAAATTGCAACGTTTACTCAATATTAAGTATATTTGTAACTTAATATATTTAATATTATATTTTTATTTTTATTTCGGAGATCTGAGGTATTATTTAACCTCTTTTTGTCCCAAAAATTGCAACATTTACTCAATATTAAGTATATTTGTAACTTAATATATTTAGAATATATTTAGTATATTCTATATTTTAGTTATTAGTATATTTGTAACTTAACATATAGTATTTATATTCAAATATAAAAGTAACCAAGATAAAACAAATGATATGTTTATTACTTCTCAATAATCTCTATCCAATAATATCATACCAAAGAGTTCAAAAGAAAAAGAGAGCGACGAATTATTGTGTACGGTTCGGTCACTCGTTATGGTCCGCGAAAACCAGTTGCCAGCGCGAGGTGTTAAGAATCAGACAATCTACGATTTCACTGATTTTTTTTTACAACCGTCTAACGAATGTAAACGATTGAACGGTGGTCTTTGATCTGTTTGCAGGTGTCCTGGATCAGAAAGCGAGATTTGCACATCCTCACTGTAGGAATTTTAACGTACACGACCGACCAACGTTTCCAGACAGTACACAGAGACGGATCTGACGAATGGACTTTGAAGATTAGTTCACCGCAGCTACGCGACAGCGGAACATACGAGTGTCAGGTCTCGACCGAATCGAAGATCAGCCAGGCTTTTAACTTGAGCGTCGTCGGTTAGTACATTCGACACGCATTCTGCATTTATTTATAAGTTGTCGTCGCGCATGAAACAAGTGATTTGAAAAAAAAAAACATGCAACGAAAATTATTCCATGTTTTATCGACCAGAAGTGTTAATAAACTGTGGTTCTTTGTACAGTTTCAAATTTTTTTATCGGCACAATTAATGCTATCGACGACTGAAGTATGAAAGTCGAATCGGAGAAATTAGTAGTTTTGTTCACATATTTTACAATAATCGTCCAGATCTCTAAAAACGCAGGGCTGCTTCGAAAAATTGGAAATTGTTCAGTTTGATTAAACCTGTGCAGAAATTTGTATAAAAATTGAATCGGAGAAATTAGAAATGCAACGAAATGAATAACTAATAACAGTTGTCATATTTTTTGTACGTTATTTTTACAAAATAATTTAATTATATAATATGATGATGTACAGTAATTATAATACAACATAAATATAATACAGTATATCATAAAAATAATGTACTAAAAATATTACAACTATAACATTGTTATTTGTAAAGCTTAAAAATTACTTGTCTATATAGGTATTTACATTTTGAAAGTTTCATTTTGATATTTTTCCACTGTATTATATATATATTAATATTTATTAATATAATATTATATTATATATATTTATATAATATATAATTATATTTATATAATAATATAATAAATATAATATAATAAACACATACACACAATACAATAAAATATAGGATGGGCCAAAAGTTTCTTCCCACCTATTTTTTTTTTTTTATTATTAAAACATCAAAATATAAAAAAACTAATTTTATTAATTTTAAATTAAATTTAAATTAAAAAAAATTATATATATATATATATATTTAAAAATAGTTCCTTTTTATATTTTGATATTATATACGCAATGATAACTATATTGTACATTATATTGTATTTTACATTTACGTTTATGCGTTCTCTAACGATTTCGTGGTGTTGTTAGTGTCGAAGGCGAAGATCAATGGTAATTCGGAGCTGTATATCAAGAGTGGAAGCGACATCAATCTGACCTGCATAGTATTGCAGACACCCGAGCCGCCGTCCTTCATTTATTGGTAAGTTTAATTGGACTTTCGCGAATTCGATTTACCCGGTGGAACATAAACGCGGAATTCGCACGGATTCGTGCGTAACGCGAGACCAACATCCGTAAATTATGGTCGCGGCACTTCTATCCATGACTCATCGAGACACAGGTTCTCGATTACATGCTAAAATGAACGTGGAACATCGACGCTGATTGGCAGACGGAAAATCGTCGCTGGATCGGAATTGCTTCCTTTCTTCTCGCCGCTTTCTCTGTTGATTGAACGGTTGAATGATCCGAACTGTGAAAAGTTCATTGTTTGATAAAGAATGGTGAAATAGAGGAGGCCGAAAGTGGATCAGGGATTACAAACTTCGTCGTAAATTTCGATCGTTTTAATTACTGATTTGACCTCGAATCTCTATATACGTATATATATATATATATATATATATATATATATATATTTTTTTTCTTTTCCATAATACAGTAGTATTTGTTGAGACAAGTTCAGTGACTTGCATACATCATTTATTGTTATAAATTGTTAGAAATTATGTCTTGAATTAATAAATTATTACGGGTTCAGATTAATGATATACTGCTGTGAAAAGAAATCAAACTTCTTATTTTACCGTATGTTTTCTACACAATACTACAGAACCGGTCAAAATAATCTGGCATTCGGTATAATAAAAATGATATAAAGTATGAATAATTTAATAATTTATTTTAATCATACGTTTCAGCATTGAGATTTTATACGAATTCAAAATATTGCTCATTCCCATTTTCCTCCATTTATTTCTTTTCGATTATGAACTTGTTGATTAATCAGTTCCTCACCGATCTCAACGATTCCTAAATATATTCGACACCCTGAACAAATTAATCTATTATTCAAGGTTTGATATCTTTCCTTTAACAAAATCCAACATCATTAGAGGAAAAAAACTGTTCAAAATATCTTCATACCATATTCAAAAATCATCGGTGAGGCAGTAGTCAATTTACAAGTTCATCCGATTGCTTTTGTTATAACATAGAATGACAAGTGAGAAGCGAATTAAATGGATACAGGCAAGTTTAGCATTTTCTGATAAAAACATAATTGCCAAAACTTAAAAGTCTAACATTTCTGTTACTGTTCTTTCCATCAGAATGAAACAAGATAAAAGTAGCGAAATAGGCGAGTTGCACGATTATTCGTATACCGCCCAATCCGCTTAATCCACCTAATCCGATTCCGAAGTGTCAACTACTCGCATCTCAATAATATGGGCAAATTTTTATTTAAATAATAAATAATAAAAAGTATAATTAAATATATTATTAAATAGTATCATTAAATATAATATATAATATTATTAAATATAATAATTAAATTACAATTTTTATTCAAATAAAAATCATTTAAATAATGTAAAAAATTTATAATTTCATATTTCTGATTTTCAAGAAAACGCTTATTCATTTATTTGAATTAGATAAAACAAAAATAATAAATAATTTTTGGTTTTTTTATATATTTTATACAATGAAAAAATCGCGCAAATAATATTTTTGCTTTTCATAAATATAATTTGTTAAATATTAATTGCTTTTTCAATAAATCTTGACGACATAAATATAAAAATTTGTATTATTTATTTATTTATTTACATACATATATATATATTTAATTATATAATTAATAATATATTTAATTAATAAATTAATTATATATATATATATTTCGAGAAATAATAGTTTTTTTTTTTAAACTAATAATACAGATAATAAAAATAATTATTAATTAGTATTTTAATAAATAAGTATTTATTAAAAATACTGCTCTTAATTTTAAATTTAAATTTAAATTTATACTTTCTTTTTTATTTCGATTGCCAAGTTAAATCGTGTAAGATGACATCTTCATAAGTAAAAACAATTTTTAGAGTAGGTATTTTCATACAGTCAATTTAAGAAGCGTACAATATTACATGCAGATAATTTCTTCAACTGATTTTTTCTGATGCAACACCTTCTTAGAATGCACTTCAGCCTTGAATAGGAAATTTGAATCCTATGTCCCTTTTAAGTTGTTTTTGTTTATCATTCCTCGTAATTAACAATTAAATTTATTTCACGTATTTCAACTTCAGGGATTCGGATCTCAATTTTACTACATGTCTATTACAAATATTATAGCCGTCAAACCTAATTCAGATTCAGATTTAGTTAACTACTTGCGGATTAATTTATAACGCAATTTCTGATATTTTTTAACAATAAATGATATACATCGAATTCATCTCAATAAATGCCATCATACTACGAACAAAAATGTAAAATGTTCCATTTAAAAAAAATTAATTTGACATTAAAATTTTATCTATGCACTTGCATAAATATAATGTCCTTTTACGCTAATTTTATGCTAAAAACGTTTCTTTGATTGGTCGATTTTACGAAATAAAAGAAACACCTTATGGTTATTTATGTTAAATAAATAACGAAGTTTTGTTATCATTATAATGTTAATAGATAAAGATAATTACAAAAATTTAGAATATAATTTTAATTATCCTGTAGTAGAAACAATATCATACCCAATGCACTGCATAATTATAATAAAATTCTTAAAAACTTAACATATATTTGAGTATGTAATATAAGCAAACAAGGAAAATGCATTTAACGATAACAAATCATGATCAACTGACTTAGACCTACATAGAAAATATGTAATTTTAAATAGTTGAAAATAATTGGAATATGTAATTAGTTAAAACAGTTGAAAACGTAGTTAGTTAAAAATAATTATTTTTAAGAATGTTTTATGAAGCATAAATTATTTATATTGAAAACCATGTGTTAATGGCCTCAGAATTTTAATATAGTGTAAAAATCTATTGTGAATCTGAAAATTATGGATAAAAGCTCTTTTTTATATATAGTAGAATTTCATTTTTTACTAAATTCACGTTTCGATATTGAAAATTTGACATAAATTTCAGACGTAATGTCTGAATACCGCATTCGCTATTTGATCAACTTCGTTTTATTTAGTGTATTTCTCCAATTCACCGTTTTTAAGCAAAATACGTTAAACAATCAACAATTTTTTACCATCTTGATATTTCAAAGTATGGCACACGAAGTTCCATAAAATGCAGTCATTCATATATCTCGTTTGTGATTTTGAATCTGGACTGATCGTTGTTTCGGATGAAGTTGACTTAAATAAAATAATAAAAGGTAAAAACTTTGTACTATTTGTACACAATTATGTAATTTCTTGTATTCCAATAAAATAAAATATTTATTAAAATAAAATAAATTAAAATATTTAAATTTATTCAATAGAATTATTACATTTAAATATTATCTATTATAAATTATTAAAATTTACATATATTTATACACACACACATATATATATATTTTAAATATTTTTGTTTATTTGTAATATAACAAAAATAATAAAAATTATATGTATTTCTATTTTTCTACATAATTACAAGAATTCTATAGTATTATAATAGTATATAATTACATGAATTTTAATTTTCGAGGATTTCATTATATTAATTATATAGAACTACATAATTATGAAATGCTTTTCATTGCTATCTGCGATCTACCTAACTTTGATATATACATACATACATATATATAGATGTGTGTGTGTTTGTGTGTATTATTTATGTATAATTTATTAATCTTTCATATAAATATATATATAATAGTAATGGTAATTTTAAATTTTTGATATTTTAGTGGTGTATGTAACTTTTGTGTGATTTAGTAAAATATATTTCAATTCGTAATATAATCTTATTAATAATGTATCTATTCTTAATATTATTTATTTTGTGGTTAAGTTCATTTATGATAAAAACGCCATCTATGAAATAAATTGAAAGTTTAGATATATTATGCGCACGCGTAGTTAAGAGCTTCAGTGACGCTGTGATGCTCTGACTTGTCGGTTGGTTTTGTGATACTCTGCAGTTCACGTTTAATTCATATCAAATATTTTACAATTAACCAGAAAAAAATCGGCGAAAATGTCAACGTTACCACATAGCAAGAAGCGTGTCTGCTACTATTATGATAGTAAGTGAAAAAATTTAAAAATTTCAATATAATCTAAGTATCCCGCGAAAATATCATACATGCACGAAGAGATTGTCAAAATGTGTTTGTGCTATCCACGCTTGGATCATGTATGATACATTTATTTCACGTTTATCTATTTTTTTTAGCATAATTTTATTTCAGCAGATTTACTTAGTTATGTAGAGAATGTTTTTCTTACATAATATTCGATTTTTCTTATCTTTTCTCCGATTACTAGCACAGTTTCAGATGCGTTAAAACGAAAAATTCACGAATGTCGCTCCATGTTACCTTACTTCAGCCAAGAAAGAGCGTCGGCTTTTCGCGATCCGCATAGTTACCGTATCGTTCGTTCAACATTTGATAATATTTTTTTTTAATATATATGTATTTTTTTAAATTATTTTTTAATTACTTTTTAAAGTCAACGTTTCGACTTATTTTCTTTATATATAAATGATTAACAACATATAGTCAACGTGAAAGAATCAAAATTATAAATGTTATTATTATCATAATTATCTTTTATGTCTATATATTTTTAAAATTCATTTTTAAAATTCATTATTAATATTTTTTAAATGAAAATGTTACTTTTTAAAGATGTTTTTAAAGAAATTAATTGAAGGTTATAATAGAAAAAAGTTTAGAAAGGATATTAATCTGTTTGCAATTGTATAAAATTGTTAATATGTTTAATGTTTTTAATGAATTTAAAGAAGATCGTGCAATTTCGGTCAAATAGATAAATGATAATATCTTTTCCGTACAAATTATACGAGAGATTCTCAAGTGTATCACAGTTGTCTGTATCATTGGAAACAATATACATATATTTGTATGCATACAGAATTAAAGTTAGCTTGTATCAATATTTACGAATTTTTAACGTAATTTTTTCATTTTTCCTCAAATATTTATCAATCAATAGAATCAATAAAAAAGTAAATTATATTTTAGGTGATATTGGAAATTATTATTATGGACAAGGACATCCTATGAAGCCACATCGTATAAGAATGACACATAATTTACTTTTGAATTATGGTCTTTATAGGAAGATGGAAATATATGTAAGAATTATTAATTTAATTGTATTTTTCTATTTATAATATTTACTTATATATGATTTAGAGCAATGTATAATTATTATATTGCGTGAATATTTAAAATAAATTTCGTCCTTTTTTATTTGTCTTATTTTCTTTTTCTTTTTTTTTTTTTCTTTTGTTCAGCGTCCACACAAAGCTACAGCAGATGAAATGACAAAATTCCACAGTGATGATTATATTAGGTTTTTGAGATCCATAAGACCTGATAATATGTCAGAATATAATAAACAAATGCAACGATGTAAGATAGATTTAATTTTTGCATATTCAATTAAAATATAAATTACATTTCATAATTAAGTCCATATTTAATATTCCTTTTTCTTTTAGTTAATGTAGGAGAAGATTGCCCTGTTTTTGATGGTTTATATGAATTTTGTCAATTGTCAGCTGGAGGGTCTGTAGCTGCTGCTGTGAAACTTAACAAACAAGCTTCAGAAATTTGCATAAATTGGGGTGGTGGTTTACATCATGCTAAAAAAAGTGAAGCTTCTGGTTTTTGTTATGTAAACGATATTGTACTAGGAATATTGGAATTGCTCAAATATCATCAAAGAGTTTTATATATTGATATTGATGTTCATCATGGAGATGGTGTAGAAGAAGCTTTTTATACCACAGATAGAGTGATGACAGTTTCATTCCATAAATATGGTGAATATTTTCCTGGTACTGGCGATCTACGCGATATTGGTGCAGGAAAGGTAAAAGCTTTTGCTAACAATGTAGATTTCATACATTTTTATTTTGAAATTTTATATTATTATAATTTTAATATAAATTTTATATTAAATTAACTTATATAAGTTATATTTATAACAGAATTTTTATTACAGGGAAAATACTATGCAGTCAACATACCATTAAGAGACGGTATGGATGATGAAAGCTATGAATCAATATTCGTACCTATTATTTCAAAAGTAATGGAAACTTTCCAGCCTTCTGCTGTAGTTCTACAATGTGGTGCTGATTCACTGACAGGTGAATATCATTTTGTGAAGTCATGTGAAACAATTAAAATAAAACTTAAATTAATGTATGTTATTTACAGGGGATCGGTTAGGTTGTTTCAATTTAACAGTGAGAGGTCATGGAAAATGTGTCGAATTTGTAAAAAAATATAATCTACCTTTCTTAATGGTTGGTGGTGGTGGATATACAATTAGGAATGTGTCCAGATGTTGGACGTACGAAACTTCAGTAGCTCTTGGTTCTGAAATTGCAAATGAATTACCTTATAATGATTACTTTGAATATTTTGGTCCTGATTTTAAATTGCACATTAGTCCTTCGAACATGGCAAATCAAAATACTCCAGAATATCTTGAGAAAATTAAGTACGTTTTATCCCAAAAATAATGACCACTTTTTTTTTCTTTTTTTATCGTATTCCACATGATCTATATTCTTTACAGGACTAGATTATTTGAAAATTTAAGAATGTTGCCTCATGCACCGGGTGTACAAGTCCAACCAATTCCAGAAGATGGTGCAGTCATTGAAGATTCAGAAGCTGAGGAAAAGATAAACCCAGACGAAAGGTTACCACAACGAGATTTAGACAAAAGGATACAACACGAAAATGAATATAGCGATAGTGAAGATGAAGGAGAAGGGGGGCGAAGAGATAATAGATCATTTAAGGTAACAAGCATTATTATTCGCAAATATAAATTTTTTTTTTTTCTTTTTTTTTAACTTATGATTAACGTCGTATCTACCTTTTAGTCATCAGCGACGGCTAGGTACTGTTTCCTTCTTTTCAAGACGATTATATCTTATGGTAGATGTTAGTTTCCTTTAGATAATAATTCAGGACATTTCCTATGTGTTTCGGCCGTCAGGGCTGCCGGTGAAATTATTTTGTATTTTTGCGTTTGAGCGTGGTACTTGCTGCATTCAAATAGAAGATGATAGGTTGATAAAATTCGGTTGTATTGGATACACACTGGGGGTTCTGTTTTTTTTAATAGATACTCATGTGTGAGTTTCTAAGCCTTGTCATGACTATTCTGTCTTTTCTTTTCATGTTGTGGATAGGCATTGTTTGATAGAAATCTTGGGTTATATTATGAGTTTTTATTTTTTTGGAGGTGTTCCATATTTTGTTCCATGATTGTTTTTCTGCATGATATAATGTTACAACAAGGTTTTGATAAGGAATTCGTCTTCGGATGACATCCGACGAGGGCGATGTTGCTTCTTTGGCTGCTATGTCAGCTTCTTCGTTACCTTTGATTCCCTGGTGGGATGGAACCCAGGCGATGATTATGTCTTGTTGGTGAAGTATGATGAAAAATATGTTGAATGTTTAGAATAGTTTAATGTTTTGTTTTACTATTTATGTTTTCTATTGCTCTACGCTCATGGAGTCTGTAAAAATGATGGACGATTAAGTATAGTTTTGTGTATGGTGAAAAGCTTCGAGAATTGCACAAGCTTCTGCTATGAAGATAAATGCGGCTTTTGGAAGATGAAATTTTTTACTCATGTTTCCACAGATGGTGGCAAATCCAACTCCCTGGTCAGTTTTGGATGCATCGGTGTATACTTTTTGGTGGTTTGAATATTTACTGCATAGTTGGAATTTATTTGTATGTGTTGGAAGTTATTTATATATTCTATACTACTTACTTGATCTTTGGGATATTTTGCGAGGTCAACATTAGTTTCAGGGATTTTTAAAATCCAGAGAGCTATTTTCTTGTGTTTTCGTGGAATGGGTAGTGTCGATGTAATTTCAGGAAGAGTGGTATACTTGGCAATTCTTGCATAGAATGGAATTAGTAACTTCGGTTTTTTGGTTTGTAGTTGTATGTATCTATTTGTAAATATATTATTGTAGGTGGGGTTATCTGAAGTAGAGGACATTTTTACTACATACTTTAGGCTTAGGTATTTTCTTCTTTGCTCCAGTGAGATTTCCTTCGATTCAAACAATATACTGTTTATTGGGCTAGTCCTGTAGCTTCCAGTAGCTATTCTTAGGGCGACATTTTGAATTGGATCAATAATTTTTAATGTACTAGGTTTTGCCGAGTTGTAAACTATTGCACAGTAGTCTAGTTTGGATCTAATTAGTGTCTGGAAGGTTTTTATGACTTCTTGGTCAGTTCCAGCTATTGTTCGCCAAGGCTTTTATGATGTTCATTTTTTTTTGTATATGTATTTTTTAGGTATTGCATATGTGGTATCCACAGCTTATTATCGAAGATAAGCTTGAGTATTTTAATGTTATCTACTTTTTCAATTTCGATGTTGCATATAAAGTTTAGGCGGATTTTGTGTCGGTTTACGTTGTCTAGAAAATATAATGTATTTTGTTTTTGGGGAGAGAATTTAAGCCCAGATTTCTCAGACCATGTTAACAGGTCATTTATACTTTTTTCTAGGAGTTCTATGTTTGTGGTTAGTTTTTTCCCACTGCAAGTTAGTGTTAAGTCATCTGCAAACAGGAATCCTTTGATTGGTAGTTTGATGTTAGTCAGGATGTCGTTAATCACTATTAAGAACAATGTAACACTGATTACGAAGCCTTGTGGTACTCCATTGTGGATAATGGTTGGATAAGAAAGAGTTCCGTTCGTCTTTACTTGGATGGTTCTATTTGAGAGGAAGTTTTTAATAAAAGTAAGAATGTTGCCGTTTAGTCTGGTTTTCTTAGAAGGATATTTTCTTGTTTCACCTCGTAGGTACTATGTTTCATCTGTGTTAAATATTTTTATATATAAGTTCCAATTTTTTTTATTTAAAAGGGTTCCAGAAAACGACCTCGTTTAGAAAAAGGACAAGAAGGTATAGAAAGCGATCTAAAAAAAGAAGAGGACATAAAATCAGAACCCAAAGGTATGTAATTCTAATTTTAAACACACTTTTGTCTTTACTTTCATTGTGATAATGTAATAACTAAAAATATTTTATAGAAAACGAAAAAGACGAAAAAACAAATGTTACAAATGAAGAAACGAAGAAAGATGGTGGTGCGAATCCCTGATAAATGATATTTGTTTTTAAAAAAGGAATTTCAAAAAATTCTTATTTAAATCAAGAATAGATCGGTATAGGTAATTTAAGTCAACAAACATGTAGTTATAGATGTCTATTACCTCGAGTTTGATACGCTATGCTGAACAATATGATCTTTTTTATTATTTAAAACTGTATAAGTACTTCAATAAAAAAAAAATCTATTTATATATGTACTGATTAAATTTGAGGTAAGAGACATTATTATCATTTATATACATGTTCGAGCGTAATTGATATGATGAAAGCTCAGTAATTTTAATTATTATTTCATTAAATTTAACATTAGCCGAAATTGTCAAAGTTATAAATCATTAAACAGTTTTTTGAAATATTTTAAAAATTTTGCGATAAACGGTATCTTGAATAATCAGTCAAATCTTATGATCTGATTAAAGCCTTCATATTCACTTAGAATCAATAAATGTAACTAGTCAAATAAGACAAATAGATATCTTAAATGTACAAAGAAAATTAAATTTTTTATAAGAATTGAAATTTTCACTAAGATCAGAAGATATAGGCAGCTTATCAAGATATCTAATTTTTGTAAGTGACACATTTTAATGAATCGTGCAAAAGTATATAAATATCCATATTATGTTTTGGATGAGTGTGGTTTTTTATCTGCTTATCCATTACTCACAGCGTGATCTTAAGTAAATCATTTAATAAGTGTGATTTTTATAATTGAAATGAGATTGTACAACGGGCTAGTTAGTTATGAATTAACACATCTTTTTACTTCCTATTCTTGTACATAACTTAAAATCAGATTTAAACAATATCCTACATGCAATACTACCTAATAATGACATAATGGTATTATTTTTAATGTATAAAATATTTTATTTTATATGTGAAAAATTAAATCAGCGAAAAGAAAGTATGAAAGAAATAGGACAGTCAATGAACAGATTAAATTCAAACATAATTGTAGAATTTAATCATAAATTAAATATAAATAACATTAAAAATTGAATGTTTGTAACTAAGTCGGCTTTTATCTATAAATTAAAAATACTTTCATTCAAAAGAAAGAAGAATTTCGTAACATATTAAAGCTATTACCTTTCAACCATTTCAATTTCCCACTTAGGTACTTCACGAGAGTATAAATGTATTAATTAATTTTTTTAATACAAAAAAAATTTTTTGCGACTCGAAAATATTTGTAAAAACGGATTAGGTTCGACTAGTTGCACGATGCCAGATAAATAATTGAAAAAAAATATGTCGATTTATCTAATAATTAAGCACACCTTTATTGTAATTAAACACTTACCCTTATTGTAATTAAGTACCTACAATACAATACAAAGATAAATTCGCTATGATATTTGCGTACATTTAAGCCGATTTGAGATAGATTAAGTATAATATAAGTATATATGTATAAAAGTATATACTGTATACTATACCGAAGTATAAATAATACGAATGTTTTTAAATATTTATAATAAAAAATAAAGAAATCTATTATATTGATGAATTTACTTTTTTGTATATCATAGATGTAGATTAATGAAACACGTCGAGTCAAAATGGTGGTAGTTGTGAGAGGCCAATTGAAAGTTCGGCGGTATTTTTCAACGGTCATTAAAAATTGTTTTATCAAAAACGTGACGTTCAAATCACGGTTTTGATACGTCCAACATGATAATAAATTGCATTATTTATTTTACATATAATACTACTAGTTAACGGGATCATAAATCTAACCTCATAATCAGGGCAATTTGTATTTTGAAAACATTTGAAAAGAATGCAAGAAGAATTATTCGTTTATTCTATGAAGTCATCGAATATTAAATATTACAACGTTCCTATTTACTAAAGCTATTAATTCAAAGAAATAATAATTAATAATAAAAAATTTCTAAATTTTAAGAAACTAATATCTTTACGAAATTCATTATACGTAATATTATAAACTGGATAGTTTTACCGAAAAAATATAAAAGTCAAAATGATTTCCCAAATGTCACATATTATGACTCTTGCAAACAGTATCATTGGAGTAAGCGTTCTTGCAATGCCATTTTGTTTTAAGCAATGTGGCATTGTTTTAGCTATTGTAGTTTTGATATTGAGTAGTATTCTGTCTAGACTTGCTTGTCACTTTCTTATCAAATCAGCTGTGATGTCTAGACGACGAAATTTTGAACTTCTGGCTTTTCATGCATTTGGTCATATGGGCAAGTTTTTGGTGGAATTATTTATTATTGGATTTCTTGTGGGAACATGTATCGCTTTCTTTGTTGTTATGGGTGATTTAGGACCACAAATTGTAAAAAAAGTAATAGATAAAAATCCAGAGGATATTAGGACTAGCTTACTTGTAACGACAAGCATTTTCATAGTTTTACCATTGGGATTACTTAGAAATATTGACAGTTTGTCTACTCTTTGTACTGCTACAATTATTTTCTATCTTTGTCTTGTATTAAAGGTGGATAATTTTCAATTGATTTTATTTGTAATAAAAACACTTCAATATTAATTTAAAAGCTTTTTATTCTTTTTATAGATAATAATAGAATCTATGCAACACATTTTTGCTGGAGATTGGTATGAACATGTATATTATTGGAGACCATCTGGGATACTTCAATGCATACCTATCTTTTCTATGGCTTTATTCTGTCAAACTCAACTGTTTGAAATCTATGAAACTATACCAAATGTGTCTTTAGAGAAAATGAACAAAGTTGTACATTGTGCATTAAATATATGTACTATTGTATATCTTTGTGTTGGGTTTTTTGGATATATTGCATTTTGTACTCAGCCATTTACAGGTATTTATTAAATTTTGAATTATATTATAGTTGTATTAAATTCTCACTTATTTATTATTAAATTTATAGGTAATATATTAATGAGCTTTGAACCCAGTTTATCATCTGAAATGATCAAGATGGGATTTGTATTTTCCATTGCATTTAGTTTTCCTCTAGTCATATTTCCATGTCGCGCAAGTCTAAACTCTCTCTTGTTTCGTAGGGTTTGTATTAATTTTGATAATATATTATAATAATAAGATAGTAAATTTAATTTTTACATATTTCTTCTTATAGGTATATGCTCATGAACCCTCCATAAATTATTTACCAGAAATAAGATTTAGATGTCTTACCATCATAATTGTAGCTGTTTCTCTGATAACTGGCATTCTAATACCAAATATTGAATTTGTCCTTGGTTTGGTAGGATCTACTATTGGTGTAATGATTTGCTTGATATTTCCAGCAATATTTTTTATATCTATCAGTACCAAACACACTAATGAAAGATTATTAGCTCAAGTGAGATAACAAATATATAAATATATAAATTACATTTCCTAATTATTTCCTAATTTTGTTGTCAATATACTTCTAGGTAATCTTATTTATTGGTATTTGTATTATGATTCTGAGTACATATGCAAATTTGTATGCTCTAGAAGAATCTACTAATATAAAGATACTGACATCGACAAACAAGCCTTCTAATCAAATAAATAGTCTATCATCAAACTTGGATAAAAATATTAACGCAATAGCAAATGTTCCTAATAATCCTGAATATTTTTCAAATATTAAGGGTATTAAATAGTTATTTTTACTTTAACATTGAAATATATTAATGATATTAATAACAATAGCAGTGGTAGTAATAGTAATAAAAATAACAACAGTAACAGTAATAATCATTGAATTAATAATTTTCAGAGAAAATGAGTCAATTATCAGGCTTAAATGTTCTTGAGAATTCTTTAAAATTGGAAGCAAATAATGTACGACAAGAACCGCCAATACCAGTTGAACGTATAGTAGTTACAGAAAAACCAATGGTAGAAACACAGAAGCCTGTTGATGATATATTAGTTACTCCAGTCATTAAAAAAATGGTAGAAGAAGAAACGATGGATGCAAATCTCCATGAAAAATCACAAGATTTAATAAAAAATGATATAATAGCAACAGAAACAACCAATAAAAATAAAGAAAAAAATAATCTTATAAAAAAGAAAGAAAAATATAATTTTATAAATTCTGATTCAATTAAAAAAGAAGAATCAGAATTAGCTGCTTCGTTAGTTAAATCAGAGGCTGCAAGTATTTTGGTTGCAGAGAGACACGAAAAACTTAGAAAAACTTTAGAAAAACATAAACAAGAACAATTGCAAATGATGAGGGAACAAAAAGAAATATTAAAAGATTTGGAAGAACAAAAACAAAAAATCAGAAGACAAAAGCAGAAAGTAATAGAAGATACAAAAGAGTATGAAAAAAGCAAAAGTAAATTAAAAGTTCTGAATGAAACATCTGCTACACAAGTAAAGATGAATTTTACAATAAATAGTACTAAGAAAAATGAATCTCCAAAAAACCAAAAAGAAAATATTAATAATAAAATTTTTAATTTAACTTTTTTTAATAATGAAAACATAAATAAGAAGCAAAATATTCATTTGAATACCGATCAAATGCTACTTGATCACAAATTGAATAATGAAAAACATAAAGACCTAGGAATGAAGCCTAATAATTCAGGAGAATTACTTAAAGGACCTATCTTGAATGCTCTAACAAAACGAGTGTTAGAAAGATCTATTTCCACTAGTGATTTGAAATTAAACAATACTGAAACTAATTTTAGAGATAATTTTACCAATATAATTTCTGATTTTCAAGGAAAATTTACTTCAAAATTGCAAAAATTACAGCATGAATATTCCTTACCAATTGCATTAAAAATGCGAAATCAAACAAATGTAGAAAATCTGTTAGTAGAACATAAATCCGAAGAAAACGATCAAGTTATTCATAGAGATATTTTAGAGAATCATGAACGTGAAAAACGAGAAATTATTATGAAAGTAGAAAAAATTAATGCCAAAGTTACAAGTGATATCTCAAATAAATCTGAATATCTAATAAAAAATTTCACCACTAAAGATAATCATGAAAAATGTTTCAAACAAAACAAAAAAATAGAGGAAAATTTGGAAAATAGATTAAAGGACAAAACAAGTCAAAATTCATCCAAAAGTTACAAAGTTGAAACATCATTGATTAAAACTAATGTATATTTGTCGGAACAAGGATTTGGAAATACAGTTTCAATGGATTCGAATATTCCTTTAAGAGGAGAATATATTAAACTGAAACAGAGAGAGTTAAAATTTGTGAATATTGATGAAGATTATAATATCTAAACTTTTGGAGACCTGATTAGATGTAATTTGTATATATCAAAATATGTACCAAAATCTAATTTTTTCAATGCCAATTAGCAATTACTATAATCTTATTTTGTTATTGTTCCATTTTATTATATTCATAAATTGTATTCATAAACAAATAAGATTGCTGTTATTTATATTAAATAGTCATATTACATATTAATGTACATATCATTATTCTTCTATGTAATCAGTAAATAATTGAAATTATAAATATATTTTTACATTGAATGACGATGTTTTTCATTTATATTAATACTAACTACCTTTATTGCTAAAAATATTACAAATATTGAATTTTATCCAATTTTTTGTTCATGGTTTTAATATTTATAGTTTTATTTATATCGTAAGTTGTAGATTTACATTAAGCTATTTTTACAATGAGTAGGATTCAATGCAAGAGCAAGCTATGTCATAATAATAGCATTTTGAGATAAAGCTTTTATAAAAAGCGATATTGCATACTTAGAACGTGTTTTTTAATATAAATGATTTATATGTTTTTAAAAATATTCTTAAAAACAGTTTTTAATTAATTAAATTTTACTATAAATAACTAATTAAATTACTTACTTTATTATAACTTTAATTATTTTTTATGCAGATTTATAATAATTGGTCACGATTTGTTGTCACAAAATTTTCTCATTTATTTGCATACCTAAATTTTTATTACATTTGTAACAGTTTTATTATAATTTTATTATAATATTATATATTATAATCTAGTGTATTAAGTATGACAAGTAACAAATTCTATTATCTATTCATCAAAATTTCTCTTTTACTTTTTATTACAATCTGATATTATTCGAGATCATTTTACAAATCTTTTTAATATTTAATTTAAAAAATACCTTTACCTATCAATATTGTAATAATAATAAAAATTCATTATTTATTTATTACAAATCACTATTTCATAAAGATTTAATAAAAAATACAAGCATATATACAGACTGTTTCCATCATCTCACAAAATTAACCAATTAAAAAAATGGTAAATGAAACTTCAAAAACAAATTAATTTTTTTAAATGAAACCATATATTTTTTTATTTATAGTACAGTATTTATTGAGATGAATTCAACAATCTATGTATTTATTGTTATAAAACATTAGAAATTACATTACATATTAGTGACGTGACATTACAAATGTTTTTAATAAATCTGAATTGCAGCTGATGATTATAACATTTATAATAGAATAATAATATTTTATAAACACTAGACGTGTTTCGATAAATTATGCAAAGATAGTATTAAATTTTAAAGTCAATCGAATAAAAATTGTAGAAGATATTGATACTATTGCGAAAAGCGTTACTCAAACTGTTTCAAGCATTACGAGCACGTTGTTAAGTTGTAAGGATATAATTAAAAAATTATAATTTTACAGAACTTTTGAACAAGGCAAAACCTACGACTCGGTAACTTATTGATATAAAAATGCTGACTGCGAATTCTTTTTGTTATGTTTACATAACCATTATCCTTTGCTTACTTATCTTAAGATGATTCGTATATGACAAATTCGTAACAACGTTAACTTAGTTTGGATTAAATTTATAAATGAACTTAAACTCAGATTTATTGGACAGGCCTTATAATGGCCGGATTAAAATTATTATTCCAAACCTAACTTATTTAATTAATAGCCAGCTGTAGTCTCTGTCATTTTCTGTCTTCTTGTATGTCTACTTACTCTTTGAACAATGTTCTACTATACCTGAAAATGATCGTTAATTTAAGGATCTTTACTTCGCATTTATAGAAAATCATTTACAAGTATAATTTTACTTATTAGAAAAGTATAAAGTCAATCGCTTTGGTTATTTTTCTTGTTCATGTATTATGTATTGGCTACAGCTAATACATATAATCCAAATATTGGAACTCTTGCGATTAAAACTGAATGATTGGTAGTGATGGAACTAGAGATGGCCGAGAATTCGAAAATTTCTTGTCGAGTTGAAAATTGATTACGGGGTAGGGTCGAGTTCCAGAAAATATCTCATAATATCAAGATTTCCGAGAATTTCGGAATACTCAACAAAAGTTGATATTATTAAGAATTTTGAAAAGTCGAATAACGTTTTTTTAGAAACATTTAATAAATAAAAATTGTCGACGTTATCTTTCTTTCTAAAAAAAAAATCAATTTTGTAAACGAATATACTTTCAAAACAGGAATTGAATATTTTTTATAAGCATAATTAATCGTATACATAATGTATTTTAATTGTTTTTATTCAATATATTCTATTTTATTCAATATACTATTCAAATAAAGTATATGACGTATGTATGTGAAAATGTAGTAATTTTCAGGTAACAAGTAATCACTGACAATTGACAATTCAGAACTTCTATTCATCGAGGTTTTGCGAACTAATATTTCTGTGTCAATAATATGGATACTTTATAATTTTATAATTCTCAAAAATACCGACTTTCTCAAGAATCTTTACTTTCTTGAATTCTGAGAAACTATATATGCAAATTTTTTTATTTCATCACGATTATTATTATTTTATTATTTCAATTGACAGAATAATTTTATTTTCATTGAAAAGTTCAATCATTTCTCAAATATAGTTCTTCTATATTTAGTTTTTGTTAGACGTTTTTTTAGAGGAAGTTTTCCTTGTTTTGCAAATAATAATAAATATTGTTAGAAATATATTAATTCGACAAAATTTTTTAAAATCTTCATTTGACAAGCATTTATAAAGGTCCTCATAATATTTCGGGGCCCGACGTTTATATCGTCATTAACATCAAGCTAAGTTAAAGCAATTAAATCCGCTCCTATGTATTGGATTGTCCAGAAAGTTTCCGATTTTTAAGGAAAATTCAAAGGTAACATTTTTATGTATCAATGTTTATTTATTCAATTATATATTCACCATTTTGTCCTACAACCTTTCTCCATCTTTCATACAACTTCCTTCCATCCTTCCAGAACAAAGTTTCTTTCAGCTTCTCAAGTTTCTTAGTGAAAAACTTCTCAAGGTGGTTTTTTATGTCGATCAAAGAGTTGAAGTTCTTGCTACTAGAGAATTTTATCTGAACAAGTAAAATTCTGAAGGTGCAATGTCTGGTGAATATGGAGGATGAAGGGAGGGAAGGAGGGGAGGTGGCACATTCCAGCTAAGCTACAATTTTTGTCGAGTAGTCAAAAAAACACAAGGTCTAGCATTATTCTGATGGAACACGATACCCTTCCTATTATTATAGTTAATTCTGAATGTTTTTCCTGAATTGCTATTTTTAATTCGTTCAGTTGTGAGCAGTACTTATCTAGATTTATCGACTAGCTCATAATATAGGATTCCTTTCTAATCCCACTAAATTCAAACTCAGAGAGCATGCTTTTTTCAGATGAAGGTCGACTTTAGAGGTAGGTAATGATGGTTCATTTCGCTTACCTCAGGACCTACCCTTTTCGCTCAACATTATTGTAAACGATTCATTTTTCATCACCAGTCACTAATTGCTTCAAAAACTGTGCGTTTTTTCGTTGCGTAGCGAGTTACAAATGAAAATGCGATCCATTAAATTTTTCTCGGTTGTGTGAAATTATAGTGATGAACCAAATTTCACTAAATGTTCGTGGATGGTGGTTTTCGATATTCTTAGTATCTGTTAATTCACGTGTAGCGCCGATTATTCTCGATCAGTGTCTTGATTTGGTCATCATCAGTGGTAGAGGATCTACCTGAGCGTTTCTTGGTCTTTAAGACCAAAATCAACAGCTCTGAATTTAACGATCTATTTGGAAACAGTTCTTTCAGCTAAAGCACTTTCTTTCTCTGTAAACAGTACATACATATCTTATTTGTTGCTTGTGTGGCATTTTTGCCTTTCCGGTAATAGAAAAGCATCAAGTGTCTAAAAAACACTTTGATTTCTTCAATCTTTAAAAGGGTACAAAACTGACACAAATCAATTTCTTTCAAACAACTTTTTTTCTAAAAGTACGTTGAAATGTCGCCTTTAAGAATATATATGCAAATCATATGTTTTCAATAACTTTGACATATTGAGACATGTTTCAGTATCATTAGTGAAAATCGGCATGAACTTTCTGGACAACTTTATTAGAACATTATTGTTGGATAATATTTATCGGAAATGTAAAATAGTAAGAAAATATAAAGTGCTAGTAATATATATGTAAAAATATATTAAATATCTAAAGTAAAATCAAGTTATAATATTTCAAGAGCAAAATAAATTTTATCATTATCTATTCGAGTTCGACCAAAATTATCCGATCGGATAATCCGGTTCTGAAGTATCCGCATAGTTTAGGCAAATTTTTATTTCGATAATAAATAATAAACAGTAATTAAAAGTATAATCTTTGCTATAAACAATAAATAAAATTTTTATTCAAATAAAAATCATTTAAATAATATCAAAAATTTATTACATATTTCTGATTTATAATGTAAATAAAAATAATACGCAATTTATAATTAATTAGTTTGTCACAAGTGTCCGTAATTTTTTAGGGTTAGAACACCTAGCGGTTCACTGTTACCAGTGAATTTCTATACTTTTGTTAATATTTCTGTTCTACATTTCCATTAATATGACACTCTTTATTGACGTTGTCTCAAATACTAATCTTTAGCCAAAAAATTAAATTTCATGACGATAAATCATAACCAATTGATTTAAATCTATATAATAAAAATAATTTGTGTAGTCAATAATTTTACACGGTAATTCCCATTAATATGACAACGTATATTTTATTGTTAAACTGAAGACTGGCTCGGAGGTGCGATCTCAGCAACGTTCTGCAGGAGTGCCGTCTGGCTTCGTGCTCTTTTCGGGTATTCTGCTCCGTCCAACCCTCGTCCGGATACCCTAGCTCGGTTTATATGCATCGGTTATAAACATAAGACATCGGAATCGGCCCATGGTCTTTAACCTCGAATGGCCTCTTCTACGAAATAGGTGAGGAAGAATGAGCGGCCTGGTTCGCTCACATTTGAAGAAATAATTGAAGAATTATTTTCAAGAGTGTTTTATGAATGATAAATCATTTATATTAAAGATTATGTATTAATAGCTCTAGAATTTTTAATGTATCTTTAACTAATAGGATAATAGAATAAACCGACATTCAATGCTTTTTTTTGTTCCATTGACTAACAATAAGATAGACCGGATATTAAATGTGTGTCTCAGGATCTGAAATACCGACCAGGAAAAATATCATATAGTGATTATGATAATTTATATTTATATCACAATACTATAAATAAATAATAATTCCGTAATTAATTTTAGTTGTTTATATAAAAATATTATCAATATCACAAAATATACAATTACTAATAATTTAATGAAGATT